GGGGCGACGGGTAAACAGGGTCGTATAATTTTTCCAAATGGCATCGCCGAGTAATATGCCGGCTACGCGGCAGTAAGCCGCGAGCTAAATCTGATAATTGAGTTTTATGCCATCGCACGTCGACGTAAATCCCCGCGAATACGGCGTGTCCCGTCGCCGTCGTACGGCGCCTCCACTTATCTTCTCAGCATTAAGGGGGCACCGGTGCAGCTTGGTACCAGAGAGAATTAAAGCGACGAGATGCAAAAAGGAGCGGAACGCGCGGAAGTCCCTCTCGTTCATTTTCGACGACGCTTGGGTGGAGTCAGAGATTGAAGGCCCCGGTTTAATTTTAAATAAATTCACATTATTTCGACGTTATTTCGCGAGAATTAAAGTCAAAGATATATTTTCACGATTATATACGAGCAATAATAAAACAAGTTTACGAAAACTCTGGGCGTTCTTTCTCGTAGCGTCGATTAGACGCGGCAATTCGCTCCGGTTGCATGAGCTTCGCGCGATACGGTTAAACCTCGATCGATCCTCTTCGTACGAGGGAGAGAACTTGCATTATCCTGCGAGACACTTAAATTGCCGCTTGTTACACAGTGCCTGCAAGCCGCGAGCCATTGATCTTCCACGAGAGAATTAGCCGCTAAATTACGGACACCCTTTGCATCGAATTGGATCGTTGACTACCGACGTGCTGCGCGGAATACCCGAACAGCCTAATTGAAAATCACTTTCGCCCCGATTCAATTATGATAAAATGGTTAGCGGAAAAAGATCGCGCCAGAGATGCGTCGAAATAATTAAACGCATGGGGGAATTAAAATAATGCCGATACATAGACACACTCGGCATATTCGGAAGTCGAATAAGATTTTTGTTGCTCCATTATCGAATTTGCATTATGAAATGCAGTTACCGCCGCTGTATGGCATTTGATATATGGGCTGATAATTTGAATTCGCAGGTTAATTTGCCCGGCACTTTGCTGCAAAATGTAAATTTAAATACGCGTAATGTAAAATAAAATAAAATTTACTTATTCAGCGCCGTTTAATCCCGTATTAAATATCTATTTACGAAATGCGGCGGATCACATATCTGACGCAAAAGAGCATTACGTCAAAAATTAGCCGTATGATCGGACGAATTAAGCTGAAATAAATTATGCCGAAAGCTGGATCAAGCATTAACGAATCGCATGCAAAATAATTTCGTCAACGCACGTCGCGTATAACTCTGTAAATACGCTGATTATTTTAATCAGTAGGAAAAATCAGGCAGAGAGCGAGAGCACGCGGGAGGCCCGAAACGGCACTCGGTCTTCTCTCGGTAAATACAACGTTTTGCAGAAAAAAAACAATTAATTTCGATTCGTTTTATTCGCGTCTTTGTCTCCCCCATTCGCACTTTCACATCTACAAACACGCGAGTTTCAACTTCGTGTCCCGTGATTTCCGGCGAATCGCGAACGATTCGAGAGAGCCACTCGCAACCGGTTCAGGCAATCGGGGGATCGTTCCATTCGTGCCGGGTCCGCCTTTGATTTACGACCCCGGGTCGACGGAATCGCTCAATCACCGCGGAATGACTGCTACGTTGAAGCGTCTAGGACGAACTATCTCGTTTCCGACTTGATCGCAGCTCACCTGGCCGAGGTGCTCGCGTGCGCCACTTCGGCGTCGCTTCTCTTGGCGACAACGACTGCATATCGCACTCACATCGGTGTCCTCGAGTCAAACGTATTGCCATTATGAATTAGTTTGAGCTATTAATAAATAATAAATCAAGAAATAAAACATCAGATAACAAACAAAATCGATGCCATTTCTTATTTATAGCGCGAAGAACGAAAGCGTCATCTCGCGAAGCCGGCATTATCTGCATTGAGAATATTTAATTAACGCTAATATAATTGATATTCTTCTTCCTTATTATATCAACAATAAAATAGCGAATATAGCAATATCCTAATCAATTATTCTTTGTAAATAGCGGATGTGTCTGTTTATAAAATCACTGTTGCATTACATTTTTCCTCGAAACATTAACTCCTATAATAATAGTATATATCAATTTCTTCTCTTATAATTTATGCACAGTTCACAAATTATCAAATTTTAGAAAAATCAATTCGAACTAATCACGATATACGCTTTGAGAATACATTGTAAAATGTGCTCATTTCCCGATGACTTTTATTTCTGCTCCTCTACACTTCGACGCCTTCCACGCCAGGCTTATCGCGCTTATCGCGGTGCGCCAGCCCCGGGTGCCGGAATCAATCCGATAACGCCGGTCTGATGAGATATCAAGCCGGGGCGGTTCGTGCCGGCGCGATCGGCGCACTCGATAAACACGACAATAAAGAATCCCGCCGGGTCCGACTACGTTGGCGTGTCGAATCGGGCGATGACAGAATCGATCGCCGATGTAGAGAGTCGCGAGCGCGAGCACAGCGCGTGCCGTACATCGTCGCGTCGGGGGCCAAATCCTTTATATTGGCCACGTCGACAAACGCCCGGTGCATCGACGGGTAATTGAAGGTTGTATGAGGGAGGGAGGAGGAAGAAGGGGAAACGTTAAGCCCGCTCACGGCCGGACAAAGGCTACACGGGGGTCGGCACGGAGAATTAACGAATCGATCGGCAATTAACATGCTCATTTTACCGGGCAATCGAGGCGAGTCGGGAAACCGGCGTAATTGCATCGTGATTATGGCGCATACCGCATTGTTCTCGCGCATTGTATACGTAAACAGCCGAAGATTAATTAACGCAAAATAAAATCGGCCCGGCGGCGATGCGTTTTCGCGAGGGACGCTGCATATAGGTACATCTATATGCAGGGTGGTATGGCAGCAGAGAAGGCGTCAGCTGCGGTTTCAATTCGACATGGGGATAGAACGTGTCGGATTGATGAAATCGATCGAATTTTGAAAGCATTAAGTCAACATTCAACAATCGCGCGAGATACGTAGCTGAAATGTAACATTAAAAAATTTACTCGTGCGCAAGAGGATCTCTTGCGACGAAAGAGAATAGTAGAGGAGCAAGAGAAATTTTTAAAGCGAGTGAAGAATGCGAGTGACGTTAGACGTTGCGTTCCTTATAAAAGAACCGATGTATAACTTAGCTCGAGCGTTGCGTAACACTGGAAATGAATCTTTGGCGATCGACTGTAGGGATGATAAAGAGAAGATGAACAGACGATACCCATTCTCATTCCTCTGCGGAGTGGAATGGATGTTGGTGCGATGGGAACCGCAGAGGAGAGATCCAATGTACGAATGCCAATGTACGAGTACGTACTTCCGATAGGATCCGCCGGCGTGTAATGCCGGCCACGCCACCACCACCGTCACCACCGACGTAACAAGGATCGCACACGACTGATTGCATCGACCTCGTAGCCGCGATACATACACTTTAATACTGTCCGGTGCGCGCGTATTCGGCGATCGAATCTCTCTGTAACATTTAAGAAACGTAGCTTTTCGCTTACGTTATTAAAATATGATTTAGCACGTAACCGCGACAGTCATTGATCCACTTTCTGTTTTTTGTCGATCACCGACGCTTAATTTTTTGTTTGTTATCTTGTCGACCATTATAGAGTGTCATTCAAGTCAATGTCATACAATTTGTACAACTCGATACTATAAATTTGATGCTATAAGTTAAGAATTTTATTGTTTCTTTTTTAATATATAAAATCATTGCAATGGCATCAACAAAAAAAGTCAACCAAAATACATTTGGTGAATACATTTGTATTAACTATCTTATCCGGAGAAGATCGGTAGGGGATCGGTGAATCTCATAGATCATGAAATTTCCTTGCAAATGCAGTTGTACCGATATCATACGTACGTAGAGTTTACGCCTGTTTTATTGCCGTCGCATGTACTTCGCGTGCTCGTTTTACGAATTGCAGCTGTGCACGTACGTCGCGCTCGGATTTTTGCCGCGCGATGGAATTTCGTTATTTCCGCCGTGGAGTCGGAAGCCGTACCCATCGTACTTTCTTGTCAAAACAATGCGGGATCCGCGCACCGCACGACAAGGAACATTTATACGTTCCGAGGAATACAATGCTCCAGTGTATGGACTAGAAGCGGAGAAGGGTCCTCGCGTTTATTTTGTGGTTTTCGGCACAAATAACATTTTAAGGATCACTGCAATTTTAGTCACCGCGACCTCTTTCTCTCACAGCCGTTCAGACGATCGAGTTGTTTAAACGAATGACAGAAGAGACTCTACGATATTACCGAAATAAATTTCGGAAAGAGTGCAAATCGAAGCACAGAAATATCAATTTTTTAATTCTGTTTCCACTTTCAAATTTTAGACTGAGATCGATTCTCTCCGTTTCCCCGAGATATCGAAGTCTCGCCGCGTGATTCGGCACGAGTTACGTGACGAAGTTTCGAAGTTTGGCGTTATCGATCTAAGAAAATTTGCGAATCTTCGTAATTCGCGCGCGAGGGATGACGCGCCTGAAAGGTACATTAGCGAATGCAATTTGCGGCTCCGCGCGACGGCGTGCCGATATGCAAACGTTCGATTACACGGCCGGAGATGCATCAAGTTTAAATTGAATAATGTCCGTTCCGCAAAATGGGCCTCCATCGTCCGATAACGCCGCGGCAATGATAATATATAATTCAATTAATGTCCCGTGCGGTGTGCAGCGCGCAACGGGATATATACACGCTCATTCTAGTTTGTACTACTCCCGACTCGCCACAGTCGCCGCATGTTGGCATCCTTTTTAGCCCGTTTTTCCTGCACTCGCAACGCCATGATCTCGCTAATACTCCCTCGCTGGCATGTGTAACTTTATGACCGCTACATCCGCATTGATGATTTTCCCGTAGCACGGTCCGCCGCGTCGTCGAGTTAGCGAAATATCGTAATTCGAAACACATCTCCCTCCCTCCCTCTCTCTCTCTTTCTCTCTCTCTCTCTCTCTTTTCTCCTCTCTCTTACTCTCTTTTGCTTTCTCTCTCTCTCTCTCTCTTTTGGTTGATGAAACGCGGAAATATGTATATGCGGGGTATTCCGCGCTTTTATCCGTTAATATCCCAAAATATACATCTTTTAGTGTAATTTATGCCGACTATTTACAGAGGAGTGTAGAAACGTAGTAATGGCCAGGTAGCTGCCGGTTCCATTATTGCCATTTATCCGCTAATCCTACTAATACCCCGAAAGGTATATTAATTTTCGATGTAACATTTTTTTTTCATCTCCCCGACGTTGGAATAAACCAGTCGCGCTTGATGAAATACACACTCATATTACGTATGCGATATGCACACGTGTTCAATTATCATGGATACATTCGGAGATCTGAGCCATTTATGTTCCTTTCATCATTCATTCTCGCTTTCCCATCGAGGATATTGACGCGTAATGTTGCCGCGGGAGCATTTTTTATTCAAACTGTTCTACGATATCGTTACTAATTGATTCGATACATTTCATAAATAATGGCTATAATTTATAACCGCCGGTTTTTTTTCTGGTACATATTGCTACATATCCTCTACACTTATCTCCCCGTATACGAGTATTTTCACACATTAGCGGAAGAAATTGCATTCGTGTATCATCAACCACCTCAGATCGAACGTAAACTTTCGAATTATACCATTTTATGTTATCTCGCGCTCGAGAACGAAATTGCATTTTCGATTCCACGCCGTTGCTAACGTATTCGTCACGCGGATAGCGAGTGCAGTGCAAACTACTTGAAAAAAAAAAGAGAAGCTATGTATCTTAGGAAATATCGCGTACCTGGGTATTCCTCGTATATCCGTATCCCATAAACCTCTCATCGTGGGGCGGCACGATATCCTTCGCCACGTAAAACGGCTCGTAAAGGAATTCGAAATTCGTCACGTCGTGACTAATGTAGACCTTACCTGTCTTTACATTTTCGTAATGTATATGGTTCGGTGACGCGTCTTGCAACCACCTATAAAATAAAAACTTTAAACCTATACGTCACGTGCCACTCGAGATAGCATTTTATATATTTTTTTAATTCACAATTCATATTTCATATACACAAAATTATATTTATATAACCTCCGATAATTTTATATGAATTTTAAAGATACAATCTCTGAATAACGGCAAAATTATTAAATTATTATTAACAAATTATTATTATTAAAGTATAAATAATACAACTTGTAAAAAAATCATTATGAATTAATTCATGGACTGTCACGTAGGTATTTAATCAATTTCAATCAGCGGGTACTAAAATCGATTAGTATTTTAATTGTTTCCAATTAATTAAAACGAACATAATTTCAAGAAATTTATAAAGAGCTAATATAATATTAAATAATATGTAATTATAATAATTAAATAAAGTGTAAATTAATATATACCTTGTGAAATTCGTGGCAAACTGATTGTGTATGAAGACTTTCTGGTGAAAAGGCCTGGCCAAACCTTTCCTAGCGAGCCTGATCAGCTCCGTCTTATTTGGCGGAAATCGCACACGTGTATCCAACTCGTACGTGGGTATTACGTAGGCGCACTTATCACAGTTGTCGTTCCTAAGGAACTCGTCGAGCACGACCGTCAGATTGAAGCTCGGGACGATGTCGACGTCCGTTAGAAACACATAGTCCGTCTGGCAGTTTTTGCGCGCTAGGTTCCGCATGTGGTTCTGCGGATAGACGTTCCGTATCCGCCAATTGGTCTGCTCGTTGGGCACGCGGTTCATGAGCTCGTTGAGGGTGGCCTCCGGTTTGGCACAATCGACAATGTTCGGCAGCTCGAAGACGCGCGGCTGCTTCTTGGGTGTACGCATCCTCGGCACGGCCAGAGAGAAGATCACTCTCTCTCTGATGGATTCGTAGCACCTCCTCAGGTACACCAGGTAACGCTGCAGCACCTCGAATTCCTCGTCACCGGCGGCATAGAGCGCCACGGACATCGGTCCGGTCCAGTGCAGGGCGACTTGCACCAACGAGTGCAGTTTCTCCACGGAGCTCTGGGTGGCCAGGCACACCCGATAAGTCTGCGAGAGCTCCGTGAACCTGCTGCCGACCAGCACCGAGTCGAACGTCCGGAAAATCCGCCGGGCGTCCCATCTGCCGAGCTTAATGTCCAGCTTGAGACTGTTAGAATCAGGTGACGCGGGCTGGTAATCCTGCGTGATGCATTCCGACTGTTGCTCGTGCTTGACGAGGGTGCCGAGATTCCATTCGGTGACGGCGTTCACCTCCACTTCCCGCGGTGGTACCGCTTCCGGCGCGCAAGTCTCCGATTGCAGCAGCAGGAACGTCAGCAGCATGTTCGACAGCGCCAGGATGATCACGCTCGTCAGACTGAGATTCCATGGCCGGCATCCCAGCTAAAAGAAAAAAAAATTAGCATAATTAGTTTTGAACGGGCACTGGATATCATCTTGGTAAGTTCGACTTCAAAGATGTACACAAGAGTAATTTCCGATCGGCAATTAAATATTTTGGACCGGCAATGTAAATAACATATTTTTGGAAATAAAGATTAAGAGAATTAATTAATATCTATATTTTGCGTATCTTCTTTTTTTCGCGTTTCTATAACATCAAAAATTAAACTCACCAGAATGACATCAGTCTCGGTAATAGTAATGAAGTAAAGTGATAATGTATATGACAAACTATATATATATGTATATATAAGTTCTGCAGCGGAACGTAAGTTATTACCAAATTACCATTCTCGTGCTCGAAGTCGCTGAAAACATGACATAGAAAATAATCGTGAGGCGAATATCGTGTGTTCTCGTCATAACGTGTTCGCGTTAAGAAGGCCGAGTAGCAGCGCCCTTCGCCGTGGCGCGTTTCATGTTCGCCACTTATTCTTCCAGAACCGCGAGGCACAATGTGTCGCCGGCTAGCGTGAATAATTTCATAGGAATACGTGAGCTGAATAAAACGGACCGTGGCGAGATGAGGCCGCCGTATAACGACGAATCTTGCATTAGTCCCCGGCGGCGGACTAACGCCCCGAGAAAGATTACTCCGAATAAAGCGAATCCCTTACAAAAACAGTCGGAGTACGTGTAACATTTTTTATTTATTAAGCAGATAATTTTGTACGTAAAATATATTTGACCATAAAAAGAAACGCATCTTGCTTCGCGGAATAATTTATAATTATTTAATCAAAGATACAACTTTTTAAAACTAGATACAAAATAAGCGAAACTGCAGCGTTCAGCATTTTAGCTGCTATAAATTCGAAAAAATGATTAGCTTTAAAACCAAAAAGAATCGCTTCTGTGACTAGAACACGAGACTAAAGCGAACGGCAGGAAAATACACCTGGCAAAATGCAGTCAAGCACGCGCGCGCGTTGTTCTACACCATCTCTGAACGTATCAAAACGTGTAATCGGATTATATCCTTCGCGCGTATTTGCGAGGGAAGTCAAGAAAGCCAAGCGAGGGTGCGTTTAAACTGGGGATATTTCGCTCTCTTCCATAAATAGGGAGATTACCGTGGCACGCATTGGGGCAATTTCAGAAAAACATGGTCAAAAGTATAGATTTTGTTTAAAAGTAAAGGGAAAAAGGTGCAATATTATATTTCGAATATTTTATTTTCAATATAAAAGTATTTTGAGTCTAAAGCGAAATAATGGCGAGACAATAAAGAATATCATTCATCATTTTCTTAAAATTATCGATAAATATAATATGGATCTCGCTTTATTTTTTTATATACTCAACTCAAGTAAAGAAAAAAATTACATAGAAACAAAAATTGGTACGTATAATAATTCATATCTCACTTTTATCGATAAATGCGCATATTTAGCATATAGTTACATATACTTTAAAAAATCTTAGAAAATAAACGCATTTATTGGGATTAAAAGTGAAGCATGAATACTGACTTATAATATTTGTAATATATGTGTACACTGCGTCAGAATTAATGTTATATTGCCACATAAAAGATGCAAGTACAAAATATGTATTTTATAAACATTTTATAATTAAATCTTAATACATAATTTTACATAAATAAATTCTCGGAAACATTCACAAGTATTTTTTTTTATTTAGAAATAAAAGATCATTTTTTTCTAGGCATAGAATAAAGTATTTTTTGTAAATCAGTTATACTCAAATAATTTGTGCAAATAATATGTTTCAAATATATTTAATAACTTGTTTTTAAATAATATAATATAAATACGTAACAATAAATACGTAACTTAAATTTGAGATAAAGACGCAAATCCGCAACTTCAAAAAAACGCAAAATTCGCAACTTTATATCTTGACTTTTAGTCACGTTTTTAGAAAGTTTTTACGAAAATAATCCACTGTGTGCGACGGACGTTCTAAGCGAAGAAGTTACGATAACACCGCAACGGCTGGCGTTGTTTTTAAACAAACTCATGGAAGTGGTTCGGTCACCGACGAAAGTAAACTGTCGAGCTGAACTTACCGATAACAGTCCGTTGTGACTGTCGAGTGCGGAGCAAGAGCCGCTTTACCGTCCTAATTACGGTGAGTCCGCTATCCAAGGACATTGCAAAAATCAGTGTCAGTTTTAACAAGATAACGGGAACGACACACGGACGCCGAAAGCAATGAAAAAGACAAAAGCGGATGAGAAACATTTGTTTTTTTTTCCAATTGCTAGCTTGACACAAAATATTTTTTTTTCTTTACGAAGCTAATAAATACAAAAGCAATAAAAGTTATAAAATGTCTACGGGGCTCTATATCCCAATCTCAACTGTAAACTGAATATACCATCTTATTCAATCAAAGGTATAAAAATGTAATCGCTGTACGACTCTCGCAGAACAGACATCGACTTTTGTTTTTCCTCACAGCAGTGAAATCCCCAATATTTCGTTCTCAATTTAGCGCGAATAGGACAATATGAAAGATATTGCCTTGGAAACCTTTTTGGACATTTTTAGTCGCTTTTCAAATAATCCAAAAGTTTTTCACCGTTATCGTCATTTTAGTACGGATCGAATTTCTATTTTTATAATTTTATCTTTATAACGAATATTTTAAGAACTGAGACTTGTCCTACTTTACTTGTTTTCAGTAGTGAAACGCGATGCTAAAACTTGTGATGCGTGTTGAGTTACTCGCCCCGGGACGTCGAACGCACCAATATCGGGTCTCGCAAAAATCAAACCGCGGCCAACCACTCGACGCCGGGAAATCCGCCCTAATGCGCCTTGGGGGAACAATGTGTTGCATCGCGAGCGTAAACGTCGGTCGTAAGTATTCCACCGCAGCAAGTTCCGCGCCGAGGGCAAAGGTCGGCCGCGGCGTTACCTACTAACTGCGAACCCCAACGAAAATTATATACACCCCGATAAGAACTTCGCGGCAACCCTTCCTTGCCGCCGCCCCACGCGCCCGCCCGCTTTCCATCTGGATGTTCAACCGACGGAACTAACACCCGAGGTAAGATCTTCGCGCCCGAGGGATATAAATCATTCCTCCTCCTCCTCCGTCATTTCCTTTCCCCCTGCTCTGGATCTCCCTCAACCAACCTGCATCGACCTGCGGCTTCACCGGCGGGCAAACGTTGGCTATTCGGACGTGCGGCAGCGGTCTTTTCGCGTGCGCGCAACGCCGCGCCGGGAGGAAAGTCTCGAGTGGAAATGCATCTTCTGGAGGAGCCTTGACCGACTTCGGGGAAGCGGATATCGGATGCATTAGGGTGCGGAACGAGTCGCGCGCGTAATGTACTCGTTCCCTCGCGCGCGCGTTACGCTCTCGCGAGTTACATCTTGTATGCGGAACGCGTACGTGAATGTGTGTGTGTGTGTGTAATGCACGTATGCATACCGCAACGCATTACACGCCGTACCTCTCGCGGGACAAGCTGTAGGTACTACTCGATGGATATGGCAAGCGCAAATGTTTGACGATTCGAAGGCGCATCCAGCGCGGTACGTCAACCCGACGCCGCCGACGGGAAACCGGCGGGAGCGACGACATTTCCGCGATATTCCGTGTGTTATCTCAAGCGGGCAGGTGTGAAATCATGAATAAGAACGAAGTTTCTGCCATTTTCTGCCTAGCCCCTTTATCTCCAATCGATTATAAGCTTAACGGATCTCGTCCGACGCTTCAGACACGTTTACATTTTGACGCTGCAGTAATTGAGTAAAATAGTTTCAATTTTCAATGTACGTAGACTACAGACCATGTTTCCAATTTAAAATTATCGCGAGTGAGATTATCCAATTATAAGTACCACAGCGATGTTGCGCGGCATTGAGAAAACAAAATGTTAATACGGAAATTAATTACTTAACGCCGTTCTGCCTCGATACGCGGCGATCGATCGGTGCAATTTTATTGTGCTATCGAGCTCTTTCCGTTTGTATCGCGCCCACAAAGCAGTAACATATACATACAGTTGCGCTTGTTTGGCACGTTTACCGCGTATTTTCACGGATAATATTTGAAAACGACGGCGTTACGTATATAAACCCCGCAACGTCGTTAAACGCACCGCTGGGGAAAAAATACGGAAAGAGGTGCTGTTTGACGGAATTGTTTAAAGCAGCGACGAGACGGCGGCGTACCGAGGCTCGCGAATTCCGGCGTACTATATTTTTCTTAGTGCGCGCCGAGAAAAACCGCCATTACACACCGCGGCGGTACGTAAACCAACCAACTTCGTCATAACTATTTTCTTATAATTTGTTCGGCAAACGCGATTTTTCCACCGTCATGTTTTCGTTCCATTTCGTGCCGCTTGTCGTATCATTATTGCGAAAAAAGTGCGAACGCGAGCACCCCGACGGCGCAATCATCTTTTGTTTTGCATAAAGAGAAACGCGAAGGTGACGTTGCAACGCGCATGAAAAACCTACGGAAATGTCGCGCAATGAAGCGCAAACAACTTGCGGTGTACCTTTTCTCAGGGCATAATGATATCAGCGCTAAATCCTCCGTAAGACGTATGCTTCAGTCGTTGTCACGTAAGTCAATATATACGAAGAAAAATGCAAGATAAATACCTGAAATGTTTCAAGTGTAAATAGAAGAATTTTTCATAAATATCCATATTTACGAAAGATTATGCTTGTCCAGATAATATCTGTCTCACAGAATAAAAGCATTACATAAAGTTTGAGTAATAACGTTACAAAAACTAATGTGTGTAAAAAGCGGTAATGCGGCAAGAGATATTAAACATGAATGTAGAAACACAATATTAAATGTTTATCTCTCTGTGTTAAATGAAATAATAAATTCTTCTCAATATCCACATTATGAATATTAAGGTAAGAGGCTACTAAAAAGCTTCCGCGTATTATTACGAAACTTCCACGTGTTCCCCCTCGTTGCGCGATGCCCTTCGTTGCACA